TTCGATGAAGCTATTGATTTATGCCCGCAGTGAAACAGAACTCTCGGCGTTTGGAGTGGTGGGTGGGCTTTCGAAATGAAGCCTGCGCAACTTCAGCTTTAACCAGAATGATGCAAACACCAAAATTTGATGAAACATAAGTGAAAATAAAAACACCAAATGTTCTATCAAATTTGGAAGTTGCGCAGGCTACAGAATACTGCGTATCAGCACCAGTACACATTTTTTCCAAACCAAGTCGTCAGGTAAGTGTAGCATGGAAATGAATTTGAACAATCAATTCATTTATGAACAATCTCACTCGGACGCGACTGTATTGGAAGTGCCAGGCAAACACATCTCAGGATCTCAAGCATGCAGCAAGGTGTGTAGGCTTTGATTTGCGAGTGACAGCCTCAGTCGTGTATCCTGTGTAATCTAGCGGGCGGCCTCTTCAGCTAAGTGCATCTGACTTCGAATTCAATGCGCCAGATGTGGTTCACATCCAAGAACATGAAACATCGCTGACAGTAATGCAATGCGTTCAAGAAAAACGCCAAAGGGCAAAGAGGTGGTAAAGATGTTGTTGATACCCGCCTCTGATGGGCACGTGTAAGCACGGGGACAAGTGGGACAGCGCCAATATCAACCCGGGCTTCATAGCAGGCAGTATCACGTTGCATCATTTCTGTGGGAAGTAGATTGCTAGCGGCAAACAGGACTTGGCCTCCGTTCGCATCTCGGACCGCAGGCTGTGGCTTCGTATCTTATATCTCTCAAGCTCTCTGGGTCTCGCTTGCGCAAGAGTCAGGGTTCTTGCCATCTTTGAGCATTGGCTGCTACATTTGAATCCTATGGTCTTAGTGCAACCACATATAACTATTCCTTTTAAAGTCTGTGCGGATGTCCGAGCATCAGGCAACAGTTGCGCGATCGTTGGCTATGTTTCTCACCCATCCTTGGGCCAGATCTGGTCTGAATCTTTTACCTCGCATGGGTATCCTGTGAAAACGGAAGCTCGTGCCAGAATAGGGGAACGCCGAAAACTTGCAGGAACGAGCATATTATAGAGTCCATGAGCGGCATGAGTTCCGCCAGCCGACCCACCAGTGCAAACACGGCCCCGAAAGGAGCCACTCGGTAGAAGTACAAGGAACTATCAAAGGTAAACCCGAGAAGGTCGACCTCAGAGCGTCTCGCGACGACTCTTGTGGGCACTCTTAATATTGAAGCTCATGGCAGCCTGCGTGGAGGAGGTGCCTTGCAGGGAAAAGAAGACTGCGCATCGCGCACAGTTGACATGCATTGCCTTTCTGGTATGTTACAGTTTGCGTTAGTCCCGCGCGCTGTATTGGCAAGTACCAGGCTCTCGCTGCGGCCCGGCGCTCGAACCACCCCTAACTTACCTATCGCAAGTCCTAGTGGCCATTCTTTCTTGGCATCCTCGAAAGAGCTCTCGTACTTGAAGCAGAATCCCTATGCCTGTTCTTCTTCATTCCAGAGCATTCAAGCAAATGGGTTGATGGGAATGAGGTGACCAAGCATCATCCGGTGCTTGAAGCGAGAGGGCTGAGAAGATCCCGTAGCCTGCGCAACTTCCAAATTTGATAGAACTTGAAGTGTTCAGAGATTGGTATGGACACGTCATTCGCAGGTACGCCTACTTCGTCGAGCATGGCCACTCGTGGGAGTATGACAAGAAGGAGAAGAAGTATCGCTGGCTAGGAAAAGATCACCCCTACAAAGGAGGAAAGACAAAAAACAAAGAAGAAGGAAAGACAGGAGGAAAGCCACAGGAAGAAGAAGAAGAGACAGATAGTGAAATGCCGCCTCTTGAGCCTGTCCCAGGTATTCAACAAAATGATGGTGAAGAAGAAGAGGAAGATTCGAGGAAGATGAGTACGATTCAGACGCGCATCTCTGGAATGCTGGCCAAGCAAGTTCGAGTTGGCAGCGGCCTAACTGGAACAACCCAAGCTCGAGTTGGGAAGATCCTCAATGGCTTGAATGGTACTCCCAGGAACAGCAGTACCAAGACGTGGATGATTGGTGGAAGAACCACCAAGGTGGTGGAAAAGATGACCAAGATGGTGAAAGCTAAAAGTTCTTTCGCAGGAAGTATGTGAACAAGCTCCATGATTTAAGGGAGTATGTCATGGCAACGTTTTCCAAGTACACACGTCTCAAGAAGTACTACAGAGTTTTGGTGTGCAGGAAGTTGTGTGTAGCCTCTTGTAGGTTCTTACCAGGAATTTCAGTGCTCCAAAGTTTTGCATGTTTTACCACGAAGTCTTTCGGAACGTCATAGGAAGCCAATACGCCTATGATGGTCACACGTTTCTCAAGCAGTTTCACAAAGCGTTTGTAAAGGTTTCACTCCAAGGAAGGACTGGTTTAGAAAAGGTCGGAGGCAGTCCAAAGAAGCTTGTGTCACAAGAAAGGAGAAAGAAGAGCACATAGGCTGTGCCAATGGGACGAGACTGGTACTCGCTCACCCCAGGAGACCAGGACTCTAAAAAAAATGGTCCCAGGAAAATACGGGAGTAGAGTTTTGTACAGATTTTGTTTTCCCAGGTGTAATGTTTCGAAGGCAAGTGCATCCCAAGGATTGCACTGGGTTTACCAGTGGGCCCAATATCACTGGTATGTATGTATGTATGTATGTATGTATGTAGAATGTTGTATGGCAGAAGAAGCCTTCCACACCTGTTGTCACAGTGAAGAATCAGTTTCAGGCTCTTTTGAGGCGGGGTTTTGAAAATTCATGTCTCCCAGGAGTGTACTGAGCACACATGTATAGGAGTGTCAGTTTGAGAAGTTTTCCTCGACAGGAAACACAAGTTTGCATGTCGCCTCTACAGGCTCAAGACCCTCGAATGCTCAGAGGAAAAGTTAGTGAGTAGCTGGCTGAGTTTAAACACATAGTTTTGGCTGTTTTTCAACATGATGTCTAAAATGGCAAGAGGCAGCTGCCGCGTCAGCGGATGTGCTGCAGCAACAACTGGAGGTTTTCGGAAGCTTGTTGCCCAGCTTGTCCATGCAGCCCAGCAGCCCTGGCTCACCAGGCTCAGACTTCACCATGGATATGTCAGCGGCAGAGCGGAAGCGGAGGATGCCAGATCATCTGCAAAAGGCGAGAAATCCACGCAATCCCACCAACAAACCCAAGAAGTCGGGGAAAGGGAAGGGGAAAGGAAAGAAGGGGGCAGAGTTGACGGACCCTCAGTAGGATGCATCGGCGTAGAAGGTACTCAGACTTGTGGCCTCGCTCTCCACACAACAAGCGGACCATCTCTCGCGCCTTCAGCTGGAAACAGGTTTCCTGCTCACATTGCGCAACGACAGCCAGCCGGAGTGCCTGCTCCCAATCCTGTGGAAGGTGTCACGGAAGTGGAGAACCACATGGGAGGATCAACCACGAGACCTGGACATGTCGCTGAGGTCTACGCTCATGACGTGTCTTCTGATGGAGTTGGCCTCTCGAGCCAAGAACGAGCTGGAAAGGCGGATGTGGCACATAACTGCAAGAAGCTAGGTGGTTAAGCCCAGAGAAGGCTTGGGTCTACCAAGTGTGGGACCCGGAGTAGGAGGTGTTAAAGCTGGACGAATCTCGCAGGCCAGTCTCGGCAAGTACCTTCGCAGAGCAGATCCAGAAAGCGCTCTTGTTGATCGTGGCGCCAGACAATTTAACACGGTTCCAGGCCGTATGCAAGCTAAACTCAAAGATGAAAGGGCCAACGGTGGCATTCTTGATAGATGTAGGAATGAGCAGCGAAGCAAACCAACTGCACGATCTGTTCAAGGGCTGGGTGGATCTCGCGGTGTGGAACCTGGTGGCCGGGCGCCTACGGCCGCAGCGACTCAAGCGACTACCAATGGTGGAGCAGCTTTCAACCTGGCTTGCATCCAATTGAGGCTGCGCGTGTCATGTTGTTTTTGTCATGCATGTTTTAACATGTCCTTTACGTCGGCCTGCTTGACACTTCATGTTCCTGTAGCGTGGGTTCAAACAGCAAGCATTTTTGCTTACCCACCCACTGCACCCTTTAAGCACCGCAAGTGCAGCATTCAGGCACCGCAGGTGTAGCTTACAGCACAAATCTCTACAGCCGCATGCTTCCTAAACCCGCAGGAATGCATTACGCATAGCATAGTCGTTTCACCATTTCTCACAGGGGGTTACATGAATGCTCCTACCGACGCAATCACATTCCAAGCAGCTCGTGCCAAAACAGAGTGAGTGCGTCTTCTCTTGCTGTGTGAAGTAGCCACACGTAAGGATCATGATTGAACAATTCGGGTAAGCACACTGCTACATTAATCCATGTCCGTTTGCCAGCCTCCACCGGCTTGTGACAGGTCACAGCTGGCATGGGGAGTATGTGCTTAAACAGGCGCTTTCCACTTCAAGCCATACTTCCGTGCGTGACATACCTAGTATGCTATTGTGGAGGCAGCTCATGCAGGGGTGGTCGCAGCCTCGCATACAACACGACGTCTCTGAGTTCTTTTTGCATCTGTTGCGTGCAGGTACTGAGGGGGATACGCTCATGACCCCAAAAAACAAAATTCAACTTCACGCATTTGCATTTTGCGACTGACTTTCGGAGTTCCCTGGACGCGTTCGGACTTGTCGGCGTTGATTTGTCGTGTCCGGATTTGATTTTCCGTTCACATGGGTTTTCACGATGTTTTTCATAGTTCTCGGTCTTTCGTTCCGATTTTGATTCATCATGTTTCGATAGCAAAAATTCATCATCGCGCGCATTTGTTTCGTTTTCGCATTTCTGCTTACGTCCATCCAGCCCCAGTGTTTGGCTTGTACATTTTACATGAGCAACATTTTCTTGTGATTCAGGACCTATCGTGGAATTTCATTAGAAAAAAGTCCGTAACAAGTGGGTCCAACTTTTCATTCGTTGGAATATGATCTCCGATGCACCAAGCATAATTCTTGGGTTTTTGCATTGTATGTTTTGGTTGGCGTACGAAATGCCAAAATTTGTTGATCATGAACGCAGCCATTTAAACCAAGATTCGCTGGAATCTTGAGCATGGTTTTTTTCCGTGTGGGCTTTGCCCGCAGGGCCTTGGTTCAATCCCGTCCCTTGCCGATGCTTGGGAAGATTCGTTGCTTCGCTTCATCACAAGAAGTTGCTAAGCCAACGCCGCTTCAGATGCGCAGGCTTTTTGTGATCTCAGCAGTTCCTTTCATTGCGTTCGGTATTGTGGATCAAAGTGTATTGCTCTACGCAGGCGATGCGATTGACAATACTTTAGGCGTGGCTTTAGGCCTACCAACGCTTGCGGCTGCGGCTATGGGTCAAGTACTGAGCGATACCTGTGGTGTTGCATTTGGTGGTACAATCGAGGCAGCCGCCTTGAAACTTGGTTTGCCCTTGCCAGGCCTGACGGATGCACAGCAGAGACTTGGGAGTGTCAAACGGATCTCCACGCTTGGTGGAGTTTGTGGCGTAATCCTGGGTTGTTTCATCGGTATGGGCAACTTGTTGCTTATAGACTTGAAAGCAGCTGAACGAGCAAAAAAAGAGAAAGAGTTAGCCAAGATCATGAAGACGGTAATGGAAGAGGGTCGGGAAATCCTGAATTGCGATCGCGCAACGTTATGGGCTGTGGAGGAAGATGTCAACGAGTTGTGGAGCACCTTTGCAGTTGGAATTGAGGGCATCATGCGGATAGCAAAATCAGAGAACAGCTTGGCTGGCTGGGTTGCTTGTAACAATGAAGTGGTAAACGTTCCCGATGTCCAGCAGGATCCCAGATGGACCAAGACAGCCAAGGCAAAGTACACGACAAAATCCATGCTTTGTGCACCCGTGGTCCAGGAAGGAAAAGTTGTGGCTGTGATTCAGCTGTTGAACAAGCTTGCAGAGGATGGCGAAATTATTCCGTTCGATCAATCAGATGAAAGGGCTTTGAAGATGATGGCAAGCCACACGGCCATGTTCATGTCGCAGCTGTCTTGACAGCTTCTGTTCCGTTTGCACTGGTATGTATAGAAAAAGCACCGCCAGGCAGTGTACATGATAGCGGTATTCCGATCCTCCCATGGAAACCATGGCATCGTTTCATACGAACGTTAACGTCCCAGAGTGCCCAGCTGGCACAGATCTTGAAAAAGGCTTTTGTCAACGATCTTGCCAATGCCTCGCAAGCACATGGACAATTCAACAGCCCCTGCATTGTAAATTGCGCCTAGGGCCTAGGTTAGCCAGGCAGTCTTGACACAGTCATCGAAGTGTAGGATCTTGATGGTGCAGGAAAGATCCCACTGGAGCAACTGATCATTTCTGTTTCGTACTTGATACACATTGATCCATGATGAGTAGTGTTGGTGTGAACCGGCTTGGATAGCATTGCTCGCACAATTTTGAGCAATCAGAGGACAGAACGGTTGTTTAAACATTTTCATGGGTTTGGCATCCCAAGCGAGCCCACAAACAATATGACAATTTCAACGATCTTGATGAAGTAGCACTCTCGCTTGCCATGATGTTTTGCCATCAAGCTGCATTGAGCCGTGTTAGCCACGTTAAGGCCTCAGAAACCGAGCTGCCTGCTGGTTTTGCTTCGCTGATGCAAATCCTGTCTTTCGGAAGTTGCTGCAGTCTCTGTCAGTTTACGGGCCGTGCAGGCATCAGTATCATAGATCTCACCGGGAGGTTATCAGACTGAAGTTGATTCAGCAGTGCTCTTCCTAGGCCTGTCGGACTGGTCCAGCAGCAAGGCGCGATGGTTCACTTACATGTTGGTCGCTGCTCCAGATCGTGTGCCAAACTCCTTGAGGCAAGTACGCTGGAGACAATGGCTCTTCCCGCAAGCTACGAAGGCAACCACAGCAACGGTGGTGGTGATGAATCTGCTTAAGCTGGGCTTGAGGCATAATTACGAAGCCATGTGCTGGCATGATATGCCATGATGGTATCAAAATTTCGTGGGCTCGTGACAGGGCTGGAGACCAGAACGGTTTGAGCACGAAGGCCAAGCTCTACATTTTGCCCGCCAGTCGCAAGCTCACACGCACATTGTGTGCGCAACTGTTGTAAGTTCATAGCAGCTAGTGCAGCCAGTGTGTCCAAGGTCAAAAAGGATTCCCATCTGGAAGCTTGGATGGGTGTTCGCCTTGGCAAATCCCAGCTAGAAAGACAACCAGCATCATAGAGCAGGCCAAGGCAGAGATCTGTTGCAAACAGGACAAGCGCGGTGCGTGATTTTTCGGCTTCTAGAGTAGTGTGGTCTTGTTTCACCCATGAATCCGCAATGAAGTCTTGGATGCACTAAGCGGCAGACCCAGGCACGTTTTGTCTGTGCTGCATTGGAGTTGCTGGACGCATCTCCCGCCCCATGTGCATTGTAGGAATGGCTGCCCGTGCCGATCCTTTCCTCACCGATGTCGAGGTCACTCGAGTTGATGTGAAACTGTTGTGATAAGTCTGGAGATTTCGAGGTTCCTGACTACAAAGCCACGGCAGCCATGGCAGAGGCCGCCCGCCGTGAGCACATGGCCATGACCTCGATCGCAGTGCCACGTCGCATGCAAAGCCATGACTGTGCTGAGATGTCCTGAGGTCAGCCAGGAAGTGGCGGTTTTGATCTTCACCCCGTGGACATGCTATGCTTGCGCCCAAGACATTTGTGCTCTTGATATCCTTGTTGGACGGCAAGAATCCGTAGGTGGTGATGGTCCTGGCCTTTGCATTGCCCCCGCCAGGCCTCTCTGTGGAAGAGTATTAAAAGCCACGACTCATGTGGATCGGATGCAGTGAGCAGAGCTCCATGTTTCCGCGGCAAGTCTGATCATTTACTTAACTTGCTCACAGAGCAGCTTGTGCTTCCTGCATTTGGCAGGATTTCTGTCAAGCCTTTTGGCGGGCGCATCCTGGATAGCTAGCCTTTTCGTGGCACGTGCAGCGCTTGGCAGTTCGGATATGGGCAATGCAGCCAGCAAGCCAAGCAAGCCAGGCAAGCAAGGCAAGCAAGGCAAGCAAGGCAAACAACCCACCGCTCTGGCTGCGGATTTGCTTCAGGTCAGGCCTACGAGAGGCACCTCCGTGGAGCCAGCCCAGTCTACAAGCTTTTGGCCTTGATGGCCTCTTAGAAGAATGGGGTTTGGTACGGGCAAGTGGGGACACATCAGCTCTTTTCTGCGTAGATCCACAAGCAAAGCAAATCTTGTTGGCTTGCCGCTCGTTCATCAGCTTCACAATCTCTGCTGACCTTTTCAGTCAAGCGACCGAAGGGTGTGGTTTAGTGGGGTATTGTCGTTGTCTCTTCACTGTTGACGTCAATTGCCTGTTGTTCAAACAGTCCCACCACCGAACGTTATCATTTTTCATGTGTGTTCTCGATTTGGATCATGTGGAGTTTCCTCATACTTTGCTGAAGTTTCTCAAGCTGTTACTTCGTTGGTCAATCTCATCAGATCCGGCTAGATTTTCAAGCTGTCAGGCTAGATAAGCCAAAGCAGCCTAAACACCCAAGGGGCCCTCAAGCGCTGTAGGTTGAAGAACTGCTACGAATTCCCGTCATTCAAATGCTTGCCATGTGTGCTAAAAATCATGAGGCCACAGGCTTGCAATTCTAGCACCATAAGATACAAGTCATGAGAGCCTTGAATTTTACGTTTACACAATCGCAGCAAATCGAAATTAGAGGACTCCAACAGAAAGGTCGCCAAGCCGGCGCATTGAAGTGCTCATGTAACTTGCCCTCCCAGAGAAAATGAAAATGCCAAGGTTTTACTCAGCTGCGTGGCGGGGCCATTGGTTGGCATGCACATTGAGCAGAGGGAGATGGCCAGCTATTGGATGCACAAAAATGGTGTCACCTACAGAGATGTAGCCCGGGCCTCACAGCTTCCCATCCCTGTGAAGCTGGCGCATGTGCAAATGCCTTGCAGGCACCAACCAAGCCATCCGATGCGTATCAGGACGCAAGCATTCTGGACTTCTCGGTCGCTGGGGCGCATTCATTTGTACTGCAGCCAGAGGCATAAGTTGAATGAACACAGATGGGATTTCCTCGCAATGTAGCTTCAATCCTGCGAGGCCAGCACTCGCCTCGATTTGCAAAGAACCCTTGGAGTCCGATCTCCGGGCACTGGGATGACCTACTGCATCGCGCCGGTGATAGACGCTGGGTACATGCAAAGTAAAGCGGATGTTGCCTTATTTTCGGTACACCCCTCGCTGGAGTGCACTCGGACCTTGCACCGTGAAAAAAGAACAATCAAATGTTTAGTCTGCAAAAGCATAGCCTCACGACTTGAAGTTCGATGGCACGCCATGTTGAGCAAGTGGAAGAGCGGCGGGCAGCATGGGGAAAATTCCACTGTCCAAGTCATCGTGTCACTGAGGACGTGTCTTCATCATCAGAGCACGTGAATTACTTTGCCGCCGATGTCAACTGCTGCGAGCCACGTCGCAGCTTCCTTTGCGGTGATACGGCTAAAGCTAGCGCAAGGATTGGGCCTGCACTGGGCAAATGATGAGATTCGAGGTTGCTTGTTTGCCTTGGGAGGACGGGCGTGGTTCTGCCATCGAAGTCGTCTGTGCACGCTGCAGAGAGGCCCTCGCACAGCTAGCAAGAATTAGGAAAAAACAGAATGAGTGGTGAAAGTAAGGGATGAGCATGCGCCCAGGCATGGCATTCAATCATGTGAATTCAAAGCAGAAGCTCTTTTCAGGTGGTGCTGTGCTCAAATGCGATTACAGTACACAGCCGAGCTATGAGGGCACAACTGATCCGATTACCCACACTGCTACAAGGCACTTCTGCTCCTGATCCAGGAGGGAATTGGAACATCATAATGCTCATGCTGACAAGATTGCTGCCTAGCCAGGATTGATATTTCTGCCAACCCACCAGCTCCTATGATGCTTTTTTGCCTGTCAGGCCAGGTGTGATGACTGATGCTCTGAAGTCTCTGTGCCACAAAATCTCTACAAAGATCTTTTGTTTTGCAGATGGTCTGCAAGCAATGGTATCTGCTGGAGATCTGCCCCAGGGGACCCAATCGTTGCTCAAACCCCGCTCCTCTCCAAGCTGCACATGCATGGGCTTGACATATCTGTGCAGTGCAGACAGCTTCTAACACATAGAACGCGTGTGGCGCATTCAACAGAAGCTATTTGCTTGTCCGCTTCAATCTCTCCAGCGATAGAAGAAGTCACTAAGAAAACACAGTTGCAACAAGCGGGAAGTTCGAGCATTTCAGAGGCCCTCGACCATGTCAGGATCATTCTGGATCCATACGATTTCAATTTAGATATCAGAGTGCTGAGCGTGCATGTAAGTGGTTTCGACGCGCAGTCGTTGGTTGCTTTTCATTTTTTTTATGCCAAAGTACTCTGCAGCTCGCTTTGCAAGGCTCTTGCCTGACTTTGATTGGGGGATGCAGGCTGGTTTCCTTCCTTCCTTCCGAAGCGGATGGAGACAAGTTGTCGCACTCATGAATTCAAATGTGCAATCATTGAAGGATGTAGGCCTTCTGCTCATCAGTGAAAGTACGGAAAGCGCAAGAGGGAATACCAAAGTACAAAGAACCTTTAGTAATCACCTTGGGAAGGGCATCATCAATACTGCCGGCCTCCAGCCTGGCAACTTGACAAGCGATTGCCAACGTGAGATGCCGCAACCCAACAACATCGCCGATGGCTACATCCTCTATCGAGCTGGAGATTTCAGCTTCCGTGTGATGCTGCACATAACGATGCCACCATTGCAGAAGTTTCAGAGCATCCCCCGCATCTTGAACCCTACTAAGCCTGACTCCAAAGCTCTCATGCTGCACAGCATACCCTACTCCACGCTCGGCGCAGGGTTGACTCGGTCGTTGCATAGCCCAAAAGGGAGTAGGGCCCACCAAGGGCGCGCAAGGAGTCTTTGAAGAAGAAGAGCGCTTAGCTGCTTTCTTAGCAAGATCCTGAGGTGCATCAAGGTCCGCCGCAAGGTACACAGCCAGGCACGCTTTTGACCTGTTGAAATGCCGACGTAGGCGATCTGATGTCCAAAATTGCAATCGACAACACTCACAAGCAGTGCCAACGGCCGCGGTCGATGCATCAGCAATCAAACCATGTGAAAGCGACCGATGCGCTGCCAAGGCGCGACCATCCAAAAACAAATCACCACAAACCTCACACAAATGCTCAGGCAGCTGCTTCTCATCAAGGTCTGGATTGATTGAGAGCACTAGTGCCCCTTTCTGCTCAAGATCCCGTATCATCCTGGCTTTTTCTGCAGCTTTGTCCGCCATCATACGGCTATCTGCCAAACACTCCTTGCAGTAACGGCTCAAACGGAGTTTATAATCATGGCTAGCATGTTCATGACTCGCCTGTCGAAACCATGCAAAACGCCCAGAATCGTCATCCGGAAGGCTCCCGTAAACATCATGCTGCAGCTTACGGGCAACTTGGTTCAAGCTTTGTATGGCCTCATCCAGCCAAGTCCTTTCCTGGATGACGGTGCCCCAAACAAATTCAGACCCACACGCCACAAGCTGAGCAATTTGCCTGTACCTCGCGGCATGTAGTGCCTCCTCAGGCTGCAGCACGCTGATGAGCGCACAAGCCTCTGAATTAGTGAGGAACTTGCAAGAACATGCCATGATGGGTCGAACTGATCTCCGCACGAAGCTCATGTATGCCGCCCTAAACGTTTCCATGGCAGCTTTGGTGTGAAGCCTCCACAGCCCTGCTCCATGGCAAAGCTTGTTCAACACAGAGGCCTGCAGGAAACGTGTCTTCTCCTGAGCGGTCAACCAAGGATTGAAGAGCAACCGCCTGTAAAGCGGTCCAAAGACCGATTCACTCAACTGCCGGCGTCGCCGGACATCTTCGGCATGAGTATTATCAAGCGAAGCAATGGTGCCAAGATGTACATAGTCATGAACACACCTGAGCCAAGTCACTGATGCTCCAACCTTGACTTTTATGAGCCCTCCGTGTTCAACGAGAACTTGATGCTTGGCTTGCCTGGATCCTGGCCCCGCAAAACATAAAACAGCTTCGGATTTTCCCGGAAGAAAATTCATGTCAATGCCGATCATCTGCAAGCCCTCGTATGCAATCGCAGCAGCCTTCGAAACCTCGTCCGAAAGCTGGGCCGCAGTAGCAGACTGCAAGAGTATGGCAGCATCATCAAGCCAAGTAGGCAGTGGACTTTTGACAACGTCATGTATGCCATCAATCCGGGGATAGGGCACGCACACACTCAACCCTGCATCTTCAAGCTCCGAAATCATGGCGTCAAGCGCAACTGTCATGACAACTTGGAACATGATGTCAGCCAAAGGCGAACCCGGTATGGTGCCCGCATAAGAGCGGAACACCTCGGGACTTTCAAGCGCAACCGTGAACCAAGTAGCTGTGAAAGTTGAATGCAACATGTCTCTGATGGATTCGACCACTGCCAACCGTTCCAACATGGTAGGCCCCGCAAACAGGAGCACTAACCTTTCTTTCATGCTCGTCCTAATGGGGAGCTGTTGCACCCATTCGTTCAAACCTTGCTCATCAGGAGTTTTGAACAGAAAAGCACGGGCGGCCGAATAGAAAGCGTTCGTCCCATCTATGAAGAGAATGCCGCCTGAGCGATTAAGTCGCTTCAGTTTAGCGAGGTGAGCCTGCACAGTCATCGCAGGAATAGACATGGGTTTATTCTTCCGACCGCCGGACATCCCAGGCGGTGCCACAGTATCCAGAGCTCTGGCTATTGAACTCCGCATGGCCTTAGCAAGTGCCTTGGAAGCAGGCTCTTGCAAAGCAATGGAACGATGACCACTTAACAGATGTTGGGGCTTTCCTGGCTTGGGAACATTCGTTACTAAACATCCTCTCCAAAGCACCGGCGCTCGTCCTCTAGCCAGGATCTTCAAGTACAAAGGCGCATGGAGCTGGGCGGAAGCCATTGGACAGACCTTGAATATGTCAGCTGGTAAACCAGACAGTCCTGGCGCCCGTCTGCTGCGCATGCCAGCAAAGGCAGACGCAATCTGAGCGAGGGTAGGCATTCCACTGGCTTCCACTGTCAATGTGCGGTGTTCCTCATGTTGCGGACACCACACCTCATGGAATTGAACCTCGTCTGCCTTTTCAGCTCGCGCAAAGTGTTTCCCAAGCTCAATGCGCACTTGCCGCAGGTCATCGACCACTCTATCCTGTATGTGCAGAGAAGGAGACAGCTGTGGGGCCCGATAACGCCTTCCAGTCTTCAGGACGGCCCGTATGAGCCCATGAAAGCATGAATCCCCATCACGCCTAGCCTGCGCAAACATCTGTTTTGTAAACTCCGCCTCATCTTTCCGCACAGAGGATTTCAAAAGCATGCTGTGAACGCGCAACATTTTGACTGCCCTAGCCCTGTTCAACATGAGCTTCGCAAGCCTTGCGCAGGACAATGAGGACCCTCTACGCGAACCCTGGCACCCTTCCGCGCCCTTCCAAGCTCGAAAACAAGCATCCAACAAGATTCTGCCCTCAAGACACTTGCTGCGCGCGATAATCCGCCTCGCCTGCCTTTTCTGGCCAATAATCTGCCATGTCCGTTCTGATAACGCAGGGTTGCGTGGCTTGCGAGCACGAGGGAAAGCAGCAGCGAAAGCTGTGGCAAGGTACTGGTTCACAATGCTCAAATGGCAATCAACGTCAACATGCCAAGGCACACTAGGCGCGTGAGCGATGATGTGCTCAGCCGTGGCCTGCCCATCCGGCGACAACAACTGCTCAACATCAACATCTACCCGCGTACTCTCACGCCCTCTGCTCAAGCATGCACGCAATTCAACAACAACAGGAAAATGATCATGCCCTGCATGCACATCAAGTAGCCCAGGGTCTCCCACAACTTCAGCCCCAAGACTCCAAGCGCACGGAACAGCAATGTAATCAATGCATCCACCACTGCGAGCATTCCCCGGATGCACCCAAGTCACCAATGCTTTGCCATTCCTGTCAACGTTGCCGGACAACCAAAGATCATGAGCCTGCGTAAGCTCCTTCAACTTGTCCGCATTCTCACATCCAAGTACAGGCGTTGTATTTCCATGCTCAAACTTAGCATTGGCATCAATCATTACCAGCGGTATGTGTCCCCGAGGTATGGCCTTCATGGCAACACGCAACTTTGTCCAGAATTGTTCACGCTCCTCCCCGGTGGCAGCGCTGGTGCAAGCGTGTGCTGCCACCAACGCAAAACGTGTGATTCCTGCTTGCGCGCCCACAATCAAGATGCGAGGGTCCTTGTGCAGGATCGTGAATGCATTGCGTGCCCAAGTAACATGTTCACCATCTACACACGCCCCCAAGCTACACGCGCAATCAACCCAAATCTGACAACCAAACTTGCCATCACACGCCGGCCCCGCAATCTTACAGATGCCCTCATGGAACCGGATGGCATCAACAGTTTCCCTACACTCCTGCAAGGCCATGATGTGTAAACCAAGCCTGCGCATTTCATAAGTCATTGCAGCTCCCTGGCCTTTAGTCAGCAGGGACAGCGTGTTGTAGGTCATGAGCTAATGCTGGACCACAATATGATCGCTTTGCGCATTGTTGGCGTGAAACGGGCAAGAGGACGGCCTTAGCGAAGCCGGAGAAGCACCACATTGGCCTACGTCTCTGCAAATTGCCCTGGCAACGAAGGCTCCGTCCTCTGCCACAGGGGGCAGCTGGGGGTTGTTTGCACCTCGAGGGAACAACCGCAACCAATCAAGCACATGCTCCTCCAAGATAACAGCGTAGCAACTATCGGATGGCGCGCAGATATCAGCTTCATGCTCAATCACAGCATTTGCAAGGCAATCAACAAGCTCGTTCCCGGGGTTGCCGGTGTGGGATTGGACATGGATTTGCTTCAGGGTTTTTCCTTGGTTCCGCACAAGCACTCCTGCCGACGCAAGTTGCCTGGCCAATGTGTCCCCGTCATCTGTGGTGCAATCGCCACACGCAACTTGGGCGGCCGAGGTGGCATCATACGCAATGGTGGCTCTACAACACGGCAACGCCGCGACCAACAAATGAGCCATCAGTTGAGCAAACAATTCCGCTCTGAAGGCTGAAGCCTTACCTTCGCAAGCAAGACTAGGCACATACCCAGCCATGTATCCCAGCCACACTGTTTCACCTGGCCTTGCGTCGAAGGCAGCTATAGCCCATGAACATGTGTCCATTTGCTGCGAAAAAGAGCCATCAACAAAAACCACCGCGTTGCTGACGTCATCATGCTTTTGAACACATCTGGAGTGTCTCAGCAGCCTGCTAGCTGCCGGGTGTAACCTACATCCATGGGGTACATGAATGGCCAACTTCTCCAGGGCAAACTCTGCCACCAATTCATCAAGCATGCTCTGATCAACAGCAAACTGGACCCTCCGATCAATGCCCAGCTGAGGCGGCAGTGCCTTTTCGAGGACAATAATGGTAGGCTCCTGCGGGTGTCCTTCGCTGTCCACAGCATCAGCATTACCCTTCATGGATTCACTACTATCGCCATCTATCCCATCTCGCGGAGCAGCAGCAGGGCTGCGAGGAGGGCAGCTAGAAGCATGCTGCGCAGGCAAGCTAGGGTCATTTCCTCCTCCTCCCAAGTTAAACTGCCCAGACACGTCCCCTCCAACAGGAAGACACTGGGAAGCTGAAATCTCATTGTTCCCAGAATGCCACTCACACCCTAGCGTAGGGCTAAGGGCTGGCAACATTCGCATCTTGACTGCACATGCAATGTCATGGCATTGCCTCGAAGCATCAATATCCTTGAACAGAGTTCCACTCTTGCTCTTAAAACTTTCGGCGTCAGGGGCATCTTTTGTCTTGCCCGAAACGCCTTTGCCTAAAGAGTCTTTTGGCCTTGGCGTATAAAATTTCGCCAGGTGGTGTGGTTTCCTGCCTGGATTTTTTCCGCAAAGTCCAAGTTGCTGGCCTTCACGCTGAATCATTCGTGATCTCAAGGCAGACCTGAATTTGCATCTGTACTCCCCGGGTTGCTCAACCAAAGGAGCAGGAGTAGCTAGGCGAGGCTCGAAAAAGGTAAAGCTGTCCAGCATACCTCCTGTGCTCCCAACCGATGTTCCTACCTTAAGATCACTATCGCTCCAAACACGGCATGTCATTAGGTGATCCGACTCGCTCTCATCATGGAGGCGCGGATCCGACTGGAAAGTCAGCTCAACCATGACGCCCAATGGAGCACAAGTGTTCAAAGCTATGTCGTTGAAGTCTATCTCGGCCCTCAACTGAAGAGCATACCAGACTGCAGCTAACGGACCAACGTAGTCCCGCTCTCTGGTCACAGAATGCACTCCAGGAGTTCTTTGCCCCATGAGTCCCGTCCGGCTCGTCGTGGGGCCAATGGAGGGGGCGCAGCCCCACCCTCTGCCACATTTTGTCGCCTCGGCGTGCGCTCCCGCTGCGTTTCCGCCAGCTGTGCATCCGCTTGCTCCTTGGCTTGCTGCAGCGCTGCTGACAACGCAGCAGTCTCTTCCATCCGTTTGGCAGCAGCTGCCTGCGTGGCCTGCTCTGCTTGAATGGCTTCTGTAACCATAGCATCGGTGTCCGACTCGTCTGTCAAGTCCACAACACCAGGATTGCTTTTTGGTTTGGCTGTGCAATTCCTGCGCCGCCTCTGCCAAAGCCTGCTCCCACTGTGCCTCCTTGGACTCGAAATTGGCTACTGTTTGCAAGTGTTGCTCCATTTGTTGACGTATAGTATCTGACACCTGACTGATGTATTTGGCCCACTTTTGCGCATATGCAGTTTTGGCAACTCTGATCTTTAAGAGCTCCTTCTTGCAACGATTTTGTGTTGCCACCAGCTTGTGTAACGATTTGGCCTCCGCCTCGGTACTCTCCTTGCCATGCTGAGCCAACAGCTGCCTTAACTGCGGAGTGAGATCGTCCTGCTGCGCCCTCATGGTCTCCAGCAGCTGATCCAACGCTACGCGCTCTGCGCTGGGCGTGCCAGAAGAGGCGCTTGCCCCAGTCTTTGGCCCAGCTGGCACAACCTGCAATGGTGGTTTGGGAAGGCGTTTCGCGTCGGGTACCACGGGTGCCTCCTGCACGCTGGGCCTGCCGTTGCCTTCCAATCCATCCCTTGGCCGCCTCCTGCGAGGTGACTTGCGAGGCGATTTGGGCTCGGCCATCCAAGGAGCTGACCAATGGTCTACCGCCCATGATGTGGGTTCCGCAGCCATACTTCTCCACGGTGGCCCCTGTTGCACCGGCGTTTGATACAACCCCACCTGCTGCCAGTGACCACCACACGTGTTGCAGTGGGTCGCCGAAAACTTGCAGTGCCGCCTGCACTGATAGCACCACCATGGCTCCTTTGCGGCTGCCATGATGGCCTCTGGGAGCGTGCTTGCTGAATGATGTGCCCTGAGTCTGTGGACTGCTCGACAAACTTCGTTCGGGCTGTACAGCCCCGGGAATCTCAGCTCTGATCTCAGAACCGTTCGTGATCTGGATCTTTGGCGCCATGCCCTTCTGTGCCAAGCCGGCTCCGGATCCCTCTCCGTATTGCGCTGTGCTATCAGTGGACACAATATCCACAACCAACTGCCGAAGGATTATTACAAGCACCACCAGCAATCGCATGCACGGGTTCCAATGTCGGAAGCTAAGTCAGCTTATTCAACAGGCAGTGACGTGGCCCTCCCCGCGATGAAAACAGTACACACTGAATTGCCAGCCAATCTCCGCAATGCACTTGCACGGCAAATGCGGTAAATACGGTAATCAAACTTGTGCGGGCACAACCGCGTGCCGCGCTTGGGTCAGACCAAGCCAGACAGGATGTGGACCCTATGGGAAACTACACACCTACCTGTACCTGAGCCGACGCCTGCAGGCTGCTTTGCTGGTTTCTCCCTTGAAGGTGGGACCATTTCTTCAAGGCCGCCCAACAGGCTGCTGAGGCCGGCCAACGCTCGTTTCCAGGTGGAGACGAAATCATGGCATGGGCATGGACTCGTGGCGTCGCGTTGTTTGCAGGTCTACGGATGGCAGCTGCCTGAGAGGCCGATCTTCGTGCGTTGGTTCCAAGACGCCGAAGGGGTTAGGACCTGAGTGATGCTGAGTGATGAGAGTGATGAGAGTGGAGAAAGCAAGAAAAGGAAGAAAGGAAGAAATAGGAAGACCAGGCCAGGGCTGCATAGCGCTGCTGCGCTGCTGAGTGCCAAGGTGCAGTCAGAGCTTCTGCACCAGGGTCTGGTGGAGGCGCCGGGGTTTGAATGTTTCAATCAAAGGTGTAGTCATGAAACTATCGAAGCACCGCTTTCAGACCTTCGTGCAGTGCTTCGCGGGACTTTGTGCTGCAGTGATTGTGGCCATGCTCTTCGTCAGCAAATGCAAATGGGCATGCGAAGGGCCATGGGTGAACGAAGGTTGGAATGAAAGCGGTTTTTTGATCTTCTGCGCTGTCTCCAGCTAGCTTGAGCATGGCGCTTTGGCAGATTCCACACGTATCGAAGCATTCTTTCCGCAAGCTGCTTCTAAGTCTAAGGTGGCTGCACTGGTCTTTGTCCTACTATGTCCAGGACAAGAAACACGCTGACCGTGGCAGGGCTGCGGCTAGTCGATACACAACGTAGATTGATGGCTCAGTAGTGGGCAGCATTGCAGCCGTGGTGGTTGCGTCTGACGCCTTTGCGGAAGAAAAGCTGCAGCTGCGAATTTTTGCAGCTTCACATTCGCATTGCTTGCAGTTTCTTTTTACCTGCTCCTTCCTGGCCACTCGGCACACCAGTTCTGAGGCCACGTCTATCTCCAGGTGGTACTTGGAAAAGGCGTGCGCCTTGGTGTCTTCACCGCTGTGTGCGGAATATCTTTTTCAGGTCGAGCAAGGCGAGGCAAGGCTTTTGCCAGAATGCCGTGAGGACGCAAGGGCAGATGCAGGGCACACCCTGGCATACCTGCTCAAATCATCCCTTTCTGCGTGGCTGCTCCTGGCAGCCGTGGTGGTTGACACATGCTGTGTTGCAGAGGCGCCTGTGTGCAGGAGCTGGAGCGTGTGCTCGGAGTTCCGCTGAAGCGTCGACGGAAATCTCGACTTGCAGCTCAATTGCACGGGACAACATCTGTGAGTCAACTCATGATCTGTACTTCTTTCAGCCAAGTTGAGGGCCTCCTTGGTCAAACGTGCGCTTAGACAAGGCCTTTGGAATCTTGTGGTGCCTAAGGAACGAACACCCTGAGCACATGCTTCGGCAGCACTCAGACAAAGCTGCATTAATCCAGCAAAATGCTGCTCAACGCAACATTTTTGAACATGAGATGTACAAGCCTGCCGGGTTGCCTCACATTTGCTTGCTCCTTGCTCACTTCCTGCAACACAGCTTTGCATTGCTTTGCTCTCTCAAGCTGCGGGGTGGAGTGGTTCCTATCGCAGCTGCACTGGCCTTAGACGACTTTCTTGCCAGACTTCAGAGGTTGGTGTGCGCTTGCCTGCAAGGCTCTATGTGCGCCGGAGAAGCTGAAGCCCTAAAGCTTCTGGCGCGATTCTTCACTTAAAGTAGCAGCTAGGAAAGCAGGTGCTGAGTGGGTGAGGCTCAAATCCTTGAGTAGCACCAGACTGTGTCCCAAGTCAATTTATCGCAGCAAGCCTCATCTGCTGAACAGCTCTTGCAGGAAGTGGCTCGCACTCTGGCAAGAGGGATTTCCGCGTGAAGTTGAGATGCGATTGTTGCTTCACCAGAAATCACATCATTCCATTTTGCAAGTTGTTCCGTCTAGTCTTTGGTTGACCTGGAATTCACTTGACTTCGCGGGCCTCTTTGCCTGGTGCTGGAAAAGCCTGAAAATGTATCGACGCCGCGTATTGGGAGCCACGCTCAGCGAGGCCAGACTTTTGATTTTTGGCATGTAGCAATCTTAAAGCAGGATGACCTTGTCCATCTCTATTTTGGAACTTGCGCCGGCCAACGCGTGGTGAAGCTGTGTTCAGTTTTGCAACAGGCGGAGTGCCAAGTGCCCCGCAGCTCGCAGTCTCCTGAAGGGCATGCAGAATCAACCGTGAAGAAGGCACTCATGTGTCACATGACTTTGCATAATGTAAGCCCTAACACCTTGTCAGTTTTGACAACATGAGGCAGTGCTTCGCGACAACACTGTTCCGACAGCCACGCAGAGCTGCACTGGAGGTCAGATTTTGAAGCATGTCGCTTGCATGAGTCTGAAATGCCCTTGTGGTTGCGAGGATCGCCAAGCAGTACTCGAAGCCGCTGCTCAAGCACCAAGTCATGGAGAAGCTTTTCGTGACATTCTCCTGTTTAGAGTAGCTGGATGATGCTGGAATATGCTGGATGTTCTGATTCGCCTACGCCAGATGCAGCGGTGGCAGTTGTGCTGACCAGAAGCCAGGCCCCGCGTGTTCCTTTGGGCAAAGGGTTGGGGACATGGAAGCCCACCACAATTCACGGTCCTGCAGGGGCGGCAAAGACGCAGCGCAAGCAAGCTCGCAGGAAATGGGCCGTGTGCTTCCAGACATCCTTCTTCATTGCAATGGTAGCTGATGAAACACATGATCTCAGCTGAAAGCTGAACATGAGGACGACATTGATATAATGTATATCAAAGAGTGGTGGTAGCTCCTGTTGGGGGAACGCAGAGCATTTTCAAGCATTTTTCTTTCAAATCGCTCGGGCCAGGATGCTTCATCGTCTGCACCGCTGTATGGCTCGATCTGGCCTGGTGCATAGTCTTCAGCAGCTGACACCCAGGCGGACCTAGGAAGCAGATCCAAGGATTATGTGGAGATGTATTTGGATTATGTAGGGGTAATATACGGTGTGCACGGGCAATACAGGGGTTTTATGGGGATTGTGGAAAAGAAAATGGAAACTACCTCTATACATAATTTAGGGTTTAGGCCAACAGAAGTGCTGCAAGTTTTCTGAGGTGTGGTGGCTTTCTCTTTTTCGGCCTCTGCTCTTCAGAGGAGGATGGACTCCTTTGCGAAGTTGGATGAGGCTGTGCTCTGCTAAATCTTAATACCCTAGATAATATACCCTAACAGCTTATTATGCTGTAATTTACTGTCATTGCAAATTATATTTTACTATAATATACTATAGCAGTTTCTATTTTCTTATCCGTTATCCCTATACAAGCCCTTTTTTACCCCTCTTTAATCTACCACAGAGTTGCTGCAAACTTGCAAATCTGAGAGGTCTCAAAGTTCAAGAGTCGTCGTGCTGTGGACCGTTCATGGGAAGCAGGCAGGTGAGAGCTGGGAGCCAGGTCTTTGCCATTTTTGCCGCTTGTCAGGAAACACTTTGACTTCTACATGTAGGCGCTTTCTGGAAAGATCACAGTAATCGGTGGCAGTAAACGCCCACTTTGGTAGGTTCGCGGCTGACACCCTTCGCCCACACCTCAGTACGTTGGGGCCAGATGGTGATCATAGAGGTAGCCAGGCCGCCACTCTCAAGCAGACAGAAGTGTGCTTCTGCAAAGATTCAGTGTGAAGGTTCGTACCTTGTGCATCTGGCAGCAGTCCTTTCTGTCCTCTTACAAACAGTCCAGGAGGCCTCTCTTTCTCTTGAGGACCAGCCAATTAACAATTTGCCCAGTGTCTGGAGAGGCCATTGGCGAATCACCCCTGCGGCGTTCGCTTGTTGCGGCTGCCAGCTCGGACCTCAGATGGCCGTTGCAACTTTCACCTTTCACCTTCCATCACTTCGATCATGACTGTACACCATGTTGACCGATGATACAAGAAGGACTAGCAGCAACTACAAAAGGGTTGAATTAAGATGTGGATCTAGATACATGTTACGCTACTTTGGGTGGGTTGCAAAACTGCTGCAACGGACCAACACGTCCAATTCTTGCAGGGTACATCGATTCTGGAGTGCACCTTTCTGGTGAGAGAAAAGTTGGGGTGGGAGGGTGTAAGAAGTAGAAACAGGATGCTGGCAAGCCTGCCAAGTGTAGAGCACACAAAGTGTCTCAACCTGCATAAGGCGTCAGAAAGCTTTGAACATGCAAATTCATGAAGGGGACCTCTTGATCAATCTGCTAGCTGCTCTCAGATGCCCTGCAGACCCTGGCTATCCAAGAGCTACTATAGTTTTTGATGTCGCAGGCATAGGCATGGAGTGCGGTCTGCATGAAAGCTATGGTTTTGCTGGTGCATGCAGTCAGGTTTCCTTTTTTTGTGGTGACATCAGTGTTAGACTGTAAAATGCCTTTATTCCAGGGGTCGACATTCCTTTTCAGCAGGTTTACATGTAAGAGTGCGAACAGGGGCGTGGTTCCTCTTCTGAGCATAGTTTGGCATGCTGATGTGAGGGTGACAGTGTGTGGTCGCAAAGTGTAATTCTGAGAGTACAAGCATCGATCTTCATTTTGCTGGCATTGTCCATTATGTGCTAGAGATGATTGCCCTCTCAGCTTAGTGGCATTGCAAACGCTTGTGTCATGGAGCAGCTGTTTGCATGATACCTTTGGCAGTTGTACTCTCAGAGTGGAAGAGCAAAATGAGATGGGTAACAAGCAACCACCCCTCCTTCAATGCCACAACAGGAGATGCACCTTTCAGGTGAAGACTTCGAGGAAGCCCCATTGGGTCTGTTTTGGGTCACGCCCTCAGGGAGACAGGTCCCCACGTCGGGGGTGCTCAATGGCTTCAAGATTCAAGTACCCACCTCCTGTTCTGAGGCTGTGAACGCGTTGATCCTTTGCAGCATCGCGTGCGGAGTGTTGGTTATGGCAAGCTTTTTGGCACAGGTGCCTCGCCCAGTTCCTGATGAGAAAGCAACCTACATCATGTGAGAAGTTTATTTCGAATGGAGGTTTTTGGTGACCTGAGCCTGGACGAAATGACAGAGGCCAGGTGCAAGCAGCGGAATCCGGAAGTTGCGTCGCCAACTCGGATGAAATAGGATTTAAGTTCTTCGAACACGGTGGAGCCAGCGGAGACTGTCTCGAATCTCTCCAGGATGGTGAGGCCATGCAGTTGGAAGATTTATCTTAAGGCACCAACACAATCTAGTGAAAGCTGATTCTTTGCCAGTTTGTACAGGCTGCTGGCCCGCATCATGGTGGTAGCTCTGGTCCCTTGAAATGCAGTTGGACCAACAACTTTTTTGAAAGCTTCTGTGGCCACAGTGACATAGCGACCCCTGAAGACGGGCAGCCCATCCAGGTGTCTTTCACATCAGGCCGCCTGCTTAGCAAGCAAAACACAGTGTGTGTCGACCTGTTGGATCGTTTTGCTGCTGGAACTGCTGCATTTTGGATCTCAGGAATGGGGCTTCGCATTATCCATCCCCTTCAGTCTGCCATGCTGTGTGGCTTATAAGTTAATTACTTGCAGATGCTTGCAGTGGCGATGAACACAGGGCGTCAGGGATAGCATGTGGCCGCAGGACGACGTGCAAAAATGATAGTAGTGTGGCATTTGCTAGACCTGGTTGGTGAGAATGGGCCACATGCTTCAACCGATGCTGACATTAGTGCATTGTGCAGTAATAGCCATGCCACAGCCTTGGAACATAAAGTTTATGGACGTTCCTTGTCTGGGCATGGTGCGTGAGCGAAGAAGTGCAGAGCTCGGCGAGCAGCTTCGGCCCTTGGGAGTTTCACAGAC